CTGGGTTTAGACTACACCAGGGCAACTACTCCATGGCAGGATTATACCTGTGTGAAAAGGGATTTGTCCCTTTCAAGTAGACATGAATGTGTGGGTAGGGGCAAAATGGTATGAACACATGCCTCCCCTCCCCTCACCCCCCAGTGCCTCTGGCTACTAGGAAGGTTATTTTTGTTTACTTGGGGGTTTTGTTTTTAAGTTAAGATATGCTCTATGCTCCGTGACACATGAAGAAAATGTGAACTGCAGTAAGACACGTTTGACTTGAACATCTTGCTTTTGCTCGTCTGTCTTGCGATTCACCTCAGTACAGTAATGTGCACAATGGAATAACAATTGCCGTTCTGTTAAATGGCACCAAATGCTCACTCCAAGCAACCTCCCTGCATTTGTATAATGGTGCCAACATTTAAGTCTTCTTGTTTCTTAGAGTGTGCATGCTTACAAGTCTCATTCCTCAATTTTTTTTTTTTTTTTTTTTTTTTTTTTTTTATAATAAAGAGTGTCAGTATTGAGCATTCAAATTTAGCTTGTTATCTGGTCTTGTCTCATCTAATAACTACTGTGCTTTTTAGAGTTATATATTTCTAGTTGAGTCATGTAACCCATTTTAAAAACCCTCTCAAGTAAGCCTGCTAAATTTGAGATTAAATTATATAATCTATACCTATATAAACCTATATCTATATATATTTAGGTTATAACCTATATATTAGGTTAGGTTAGAACCTATATCTATATATATTTAGGTCCACAAGCCATGGCTACTGGCTAAGAAACAGTAATACTTATGACATTATAACTTAGCAGTTCATTTCTTCAGCAAGAACAACCCAGGGTATGCTATTAAATGTAATATCACTCATCTTTTTAATATTTAACATGGCAGTAAAGTATAGCACGGTAAATTAACACTGCTGTATAAGAAAAGCACATTCATGCAACCATGTAGAAGTACCTAAACCCAGTTTTTCTGTCCAATAAGCTCAGCCCAAAAGGACTGGGTTCGTTTTGATACTTAAAATGAAACAAACATGTACATTGTAAAGGAATGAATTATTTGAGAAGTATTACTTATCAAAAGGTTACTATGAATTCCTCCTATATGTAAACTAAGGGCCCTTGAACCTATAGCCAGGTTCTCAGAATTCTTTTCATGTCCAAAGAGACCACACAGTTCCTCTAGTGCTAAAAGCCCTAAAATCTAGGTCATCTTATTTCAGATACCATTAACTACTAGCTTAATATCATTCATTTCCATCACATAGGTAAAGTTATGTTTACTCACTAATTAATGACATACCTATACTTAACATTACAGACCTTCTGTATGTTCTGACAGACTAGTGGCATCCTTTACTCAAGTCTTAGATACAGCTAGTTAGTGTTTCATGAAAAATGAATGCTGAAAGTACTGGTCCCAAAAAATATTAGATTGGCAAAACTTTTATTTATATATATCTATACAGTTAGTCTATAGAAGATGCATAGCTGTTTATCTAGCACAAGCTTTCATGATCCAAAGTTCACTTCATCAGCATCTGATGAAGTTAATTTTGACTCAAGAAAGCTTGTGATCTGTAACATATATTTAATTAGTCTGCAAAGGTGCACATCTGCCTTGCCTTCTGACTGACTTCAGACCTCTCTCTGCTCATGAAAAACATACAGAAAACATACCTTACCAGGATTCTTTCAATGTTCCAAGCACCTTGACTATTTCAAATGATGATGCACAGCACTATTACACAGTATCCTTCTGCCACCTTTGTAACTTTTTAATGAATTTTAAATGCTTTTTAAAATCACCAATATTTCAGTAGCGGATGATTTGTGCCTTGTATTGCTATTACATAGTGTGCTTGGTTGTTGAATTGCTGTCTAACAAAAATTCTCAACAGTATATAGCATCATACTATGTCCTGTGGTTTTGCATAACTATTTCTGTGAGCTGTCATTAAATTACATTGTCTGACAAAAAGAGCTCATCAGGTATAACATGGATACATTACCATTCAATTTTCTTTAATTGTTCACATAGACTGAAATTGACCAGGTGATTTGAGTGTAAATGTGCTTCTCTTTTTCAAGTAAGCTCTAATGAATAAAACACTTCAGCAGCTACCTCTAGCATCTCCCTAAGAGGGCTCTGGATGAAGACATCCATCCCATGCCCCCCCCGCCCAAATCCTTCTGCATGCCATTTACCATTAAATCATCATGAGACTCAGAATGCTTGTCACCTGTCCATTTTGTCTCGGGACCTTTGTAACCTTAGGTAGTACCTCTTTCTCCAGTTTATAGATTAGAGGGCGAGACAAATAAATGCCTTGCAGAAGTCACAGGTCATCTCCAATGAGATGATCCAATCCAGATCTCTGCCTTGCAAACCAGTTGTAAAAGCAGACAATTTTTTTCCTTCCTATTTCCACCAACTTGCTTTTGGTGGCATTAATGCAGGGGTGGGCAAAATACAGCCCGCGGGCCACATTCAGCCCATGGTGGGACTTTGTCCAACCCATGGCAGGTCCCTCAGTGCTGCCTGGCCCATGCACTATCTGGCCATGGCACATCCTGTGTCACCTCCTGGGCACGCAGCAGGGCTTGGGTGGCTCCTTTCTAGGCAGCCCAGATGGCAGCAGCTCCTTTTAGGCAGCCCCAGTGGGTTCCAGCAGGGACCTGCACTGCATGGCCCTGACCCCACACTTGCTCTGGGCTTGCCCGTCTAGGCTCAGCAGCGGCAGCATGGAACAGATGCTCAGCGCAGGGTACAAGTGACCCCTCCCCCTTGCCACTGATGGTACTTCCCGGTGTAGCATCCCAGAGCCTGTGCTGGGCTGCCCTGCATCTATGCCGCATCCCCACTGCCTCTGGGCTGCCCAGCGGGCCAACGGTGGCAGCGCAGAGCAGACAGGGTAGCCCAGCACAGGCAACATGACACTATACCAGGAAGCGTTGGCAGTGGTGGGGAAGGAGGGGGCGGAGCGGATGTTTTTAGCTCGCGCTGAGCAGCAGCTTCTGTCCCATGCTGCCGCTGCTGAGCCTGAGCAGGCGAGCCTGGAGCAGGCATGGGGCGCGTGGGGTCAGGGCTGTGCACACTGGTCCCCACCAGTACTGCAGGGCTGGGGCTGGCAGCAGTGGCACCTGGAAAGAGCTGCTGCCACCTGGGCTGCCTAAAAAGACAGTCCAGCTGTGGATCCACTCCAGCCCTGCTGTGCCCAGGGAGCAGCAGGATGTACCACGGGTGGGCGGTGCAGAGTGGCCAGGTCATGGCTGTGCCTGGGTTTCAGCTAATCTGCTCCAACAGGGGCGAGTCTGGAGTAGACATGGGGCATGCTGGGGCGGCACGCTGTTGGCTGCGACAGGGAGGCACTGCAGGACAGGAGTGCTCTGGGCTGTTCTG